GTGTCCCCCGCCGTGATATTGCTGTAATATTGTTAAAAGCGGCGTAAAACCATACTCACTCACTCACTCTACTGGAACAGGTGGTTCATCGGGAAAAGCTGCATTGTTGAGGCCAGGTTGAATACGTGTCTCTGGTGGGTTGTTAACCCCGCCTACAAGGGCATTCAGGTGCCCACAGAACATGACCTCACAGTCTAAGTCACTTAGATGTTGTAATCTTTAACTTCTGAACAAGAGTCCTTTTACTCTTATTGTTATCAATAAGTTTGTTTTATATTAAAATATGGTTTCTATCAAGAATAACATAAGAAAAACCTTTGACAAAATCGTATTTGCTCTTTAGATTGAAGCCTATACACTCTCCTTCCATAAAAGATACATACAACATATCATAAATAGAAAATATAGACCCATAGACCCTTCCGATATAATCATAATATTATCAAGCCCGATCTTCATTAATGAATAAATAATTCTATCTTACATGTAGTTGAGGTTTGTAAATGCATTCATGAATTTAAATATTTACTCATTCACTTACTAAATGTATGATTTATCTGTAGACAAAGATTAAACAGGTGTTTTACCTGATAAAATAAATAATATATATACGTATCGTCATTTGTAACTTTAGAGTATACATTAAATTGTATGGCTGAATGCACAGATAATCCCCTAAATGTTACCTGTATTTAAATGGTTTGATCCAACAGTTGGTTGCAGAAAAATAGGAAGAGTATTTATTCCTTCAAAATGTAATCCACATTTCAACAAGCACGAAATACCCATACCCCCCGCCAATACGACATGTCCGGTTGTGTGCAATGCATTAGCTCCTGTGAACTATGTTCACTGGACCTTTTTGTAAATGGCCCAATTGCAGCACTAAAAAAGGTTATTACTCATCGAACAGTGAGTCAGTGGGTGAAAATGCGAAGCCCCAAAACATCTTGTGGAGTACAGGTTGAAGAAAAGGAAAGTTCCCTTTACAAAAACATTACCTAATCTAATCCTTGATCTAATCCTTAGTTCGACACCGCCTCCGTGGTCTTGTATTAGAGAGTCTACCCGGAGAGCAACAGGTCAGGGTACGATCCCCGGCCGCGTCATACCAAAATATGTGAAACTATGGTACTTGTTGTTACCCTGTCTGGCGCAGGGCATTAAGGGGTTAAAACAAGGACTGGTCGATTCTGAGTCTAAGTGGGTATTCATTTGAAACTGTGGAAGGGTATCTCAGTGGCCCAGCACTTTAAATCGACATCAGTTTGGACAAGTACAGGCAGTCATACACACGTGCAAGCACGTCGCTATATGTGTGCAATAAACTTGGACGTGACGTTAAACCCCATTTTACCTCACCTTTCTTGGGGTTATGCAATGTTAATTCCAAAAAAGTCCAGCTTGGGATTTGTCCATTCAGATATGTGTGGTGACCTTTTTCATCCCAACTCCTTCTTCTGACTGATGCGACATCTGACTAATGAGAGTAAAACCATGATTAGAAACCCGTTTTGACCCCAGGGGCGGATTTTTATTGAGGAGACGATTTCAAATTATCTTATTTACTTACGCTCTGCTTTCGATGTTTTATCTCCGATATTTGCATAAACGATGTTACGATCTATCCAAGTCCCCAATAGGCAACAAAAAGAACAACCAATAGCTACATATTATATGTAACAAATACACATTTTCAATGCAGTGGTCATGGTAATAATTAGATCATATCAGTTGGACATCCATAGACATTTTGAGTACAACATCACCTCATCATGACTTGGCAATACCCGGTATGTTTTAAAACTCTACATATATCTTCCTTACACTTGCCTGATACTTCTATTTGTATTCCATATGTCATACGAAGGTAGTAATCTTCAAAAATGGAAACAATCAATTCCCAGTGTATGGATGGGGATACGCGTTCACCTTTCCGTGAACACCTGGAATCATCACTATTTGGTCGTGATTACAGGCCTATGATACATAATTCGATATTTCTTATGATAATGGAAATGAGACTGTCTCTTCTTTTCTACGATAGACATGTAGATATACTTTGAAGGCAGAAGTGTATAAGTGAGTGAGTGAGTATTCTTTGACGCTGCTTTTAGTAATATCCCAGCAATATCACAGCGGGGCACTCCAGAAATGGGCTTTACACACTGTACCCATGTCAGGAATCGAACCCGGGTCTTCGGCGTGACGAGCGAACGCTTTAATCACAAGGCTACCCGACCGCCCCCAAATGTAAAAGAAACATTTGTCTTAACAAAATGTGGAAACACTTGACGATTCTTGACAAGAGTTTATTATATGTACAATTCATCAACAATATATTATGGAATCTTATATAAATCTGTTCTTGTTATAAATGAGAATACAGTTAGTGTCACACAATGTTAGTTAAAGGTTTGTTGGTTTAAAAATGCCGTCTCCAATACTGGTGCCAAATGTAGAACATTGTAATGATTATTCTAAGTTGAGTCAGCTACAAAGGTCGCATTAACTCGGACATCCATTTACAGATGAGGATGGCCAATATATCGATCAAAGCCTTTAAAGCTTGAAATGTCACATGACATGTCACTTGGGGATACTTTCAAATGTATAGCTGATAAATGGACACTGAAGTGGTCTTGCATTCATCATTCAGACGGTGTTTGGCTCTGACACAGATGTTAGGTCTTGTCTTTATTGTCAGTGGTAATAGAGCTGGACACAAGTGACATTTCAGTTTCTCCGCTCATTAAGATGCTGCTGGACGGTAACGTTGCAATCATGCTCCTCTCCTTGTACTTGGTGTTTGTATTTGGCTCATGCAGCACCTTTTCATATCGACTGCAAAAGGGGAAGGATCCGACTCACGTTGGCATCAGGTTGTGTGAACTTAAATGTATTGAATATGGTCAGTGTTTGAAATTTGAGTACAATATTGCAACTTTAACCTGTCGTTTATCAAGTGACGAATCAAAGGAGAGGACAGAAGGATACATCATGCTGCCAACGAATTATTTAAATGTAAGTTATACTTTTGAGATCATATGTACATAAACCATTGAAGATATGTTTTTTTACAATGATTAATGCTTTATTACATATTCAACAACAATAGGTCATTAACAAAGAACAGAACTGAAAGATAAACATGCATAATATTTGTGATTCGCTTTATAAAGATAAATGTGTAAGACACATTAATTAACTGTAGATCAAACGAAAATATACATTGTTAAATTGTGAATAGGTTTAAAAACTCATACCTTGGCTAAAAGAAACTGACTGTAGTTTGAAAATGCTTATGCAAACATACCGAACATCATTTAACTGTTAGAACTATTTCTTGAATTTGGAGGAAACAGCTTCTTTCGTGATGGAAGGGATTGAAAATTAATACAGGGTTATAAAAGCACACGAGAATAATGTCAATGTTATCAGAACAACAGAGATAGCGAGTGAGAATGGTTTTTAAGTTGCTTTTAGGCAATATGCAAGCAATGTCATCCTAGGGGACACCAGGAATGAGCTGAGCACATTGTACAACACAGAGAGAGGGGGTCTTGAACGGCGATAATTGTGCTACGCAAGTTCATAGTGCAAGAGTGCTTGAGAGCAGACAATTTGCCAGTGCCAGACTCATTCACCGAAACGAATAAAATCAAATCCAAGTCGCTGTATACATTCTTTTGATGATTAATTTAGGAATTAGTATTTTACAAAGTGTATCAATGGTCTTGAAATTGTAATCGAATGGTCATATAACAATGGCAATAGTCTAGATTTGAAAAGAGTACAATTTATCTTCATTACATAACAGAATGTTAACAATCTCTCATATGGACCTACTTCCTTCTCTCTGAAGGGCACAACAAGCAAATGTGGATCCAAGAGCTGCAGTCCGAATTTTCGATGTTTGCCGGCCCGAAGTGGAAAGTCTGTTTGTGTGAAAGGTAATTTAAAGATTTAGGTAAATGTAGGGGTTTTGAGCATTTGTTCATGATCCAAAAACACAGGATGTTTCCTCATTTCGCCTCTGGAAGCCTCATAAATACTATTGGTTTCAACAGTAAACAGACAGATATGTTTACAGTCAATAAATCACTGGATTGTCTGGTCCAGAGTCGATTATTTACAGACCGGATTTATACAGCTGGAATATTGCCGAGTGCGGCGTGAAACCAAAAACACGCATTTATAATGCACCACATTCCCTTCACCGATGGGAATGCTCATAACGCTACACCATTATTACCCTGGTCAATGGATTAGTGAGCACTCGATTTTCATTCTCAGCTCCCTGAGGAATATACAACCCAAGTTGTCTGTGAGGCTCTAGACTGTTAACAGCCGCATTACTATCTCACCCTACCGGTACCCACTCACTGCTGGGTGAACAGAGGCACATTTCGAACAAAGTGGTGGTAGACGACCTCAATTAAGCTTGAAATGTTCCGATTAAAGGGCTTAAATTTATAACTAATAACTCTGCAGAGACATGTTTAGGATTACAATAGCAGTTTGATCTGATGAGTCATGCACACGATTGTAACCATATTGTTTTTATGTCTCGATCATATGTCACTTCTTACAGCTACATCAAAACATACTGTTCCATTTCATATTGATCATCAATCCATTCCAACTAATATTACTTTTGTTTGTGACAGGATCTTACTATCTATAAAACGGTTTTCGTTGCAACATTTCTGAAATACTGCCGATGTGAACTTTTTAGTGAACATTCAGTCTATATTTATGTGTACGTTTTATGAAGCAAAATATGAGAATGTGTCCATTAATATTTGTCACTCATATTTGCTTGGCAGACTGTGTGAAGGTAAACACTATCGTATCCAATAAACCAATTCTCAAGTATACTCTTAAACACTGCAGATTGGACGCAGTCACATCCTGGGCTGTTCCTTCAACATGGGATAAGAGATACGTTAAAAGACAAACTTCATGAGGCCTGCAAGGAAGGTCATCTGAATCGAGTGATGCGGATCTTGTCTGATGGTCGGATGGACGTGAACGGTAGATATGGGAAACACAAGCTGACGCCATTGATGGTGACAGCATTCTATGGACACAGAGAAGTGTATACCTTACTTGTAAATAAAGGGGCTGATGTTTCTGTACTGGACAACATCGGCTGCAACATCCTTCATGCGGCATCTGAGGGAGGACATGTGAATATGGTAAAGTATGTCCTCTCGCAAAATATTGTTGACATCAATAGCAGAGATAACGCAGGATGGACCCCACTGATGTTGGCATCATGTCGTGGATACAGAAAAGTGTACGACTTCCTAGATAGTAAGGCAGCTGATGTCTCACTGGTAGATTATCATCACAGGAACATCCTTCATATTACATGCAAAGGGGGACATTTGAACATGGTGAAGTATGTTCTTTCGCAAAATATTGTTGACATCAATAGCAGAGATAAGGAAGGAATGACACCAGTGATGTGGGCAGTCTATTCGGGACACAGAGAAGTGTATGACGTCCTTGTCAGTAGGGCAGCTGATGTCTCACTAGTAGATTATCATCACAGAAACATCCTTCATGTTACATGCAAAGGGAGACATTTGAACATGGTGAAGTATGTTCTTTCGCAAAATATTGTTGACATCAATAGCAGAGATAAGGAAGGAATGACACCAGTGATGTGGGCAGTCTATTCGGGACACAGAGAAGTGTATGACGTCCTTGTCAGTAGGGCAGCTGATGTCTCACTAGTAGATTATCATCACAGGAACATCCTTCATGTTACATGCAAAGGGAGACATTTGAACATGGTGAAGTATGTTCTTTCGCTAAATATTGTTGAAATCAATAGCAGAGATAAGGAAGGAATGACACCAGTGATGTGGGCAGTCTATTCGGGACACAGAGAAGTGTATGACGTCCTTGTTAGCAAAGGAGCTGATGTCTCACTGGTTGATTATAATGACAGCACCATCCTTCATGTGGCATCTAAGGGAGGACATGTGAATATGGTAAAGTATGTCCTCTCGCAAAATATTGTTGACATCAATAGCAGAGACAAGGAAGGATGGACCCCACTGATGTTGGCAGCATGTCATAGACACAGAGAAGTGTATGACTTCCTTGTCAGTAAGGCAGCTGATGTCTCACTGATAGATTATCATCACAGGAACATCCTTGATATGGCATGCAAAGGAGGACATTTTAACATGGTGAAGTAAAATATTGTTGAAATCAATAGCAGAGATAATGGAGGAATGACACCTGTGATGTGGGCAGTCTAGTTTGGACACAAAGAATTGTATGACCTCCTTCTGAGGTCTCCTTAAGCATGCTCTTTCTAAGGAGATTTCAAAGAGCATCATGCACGTCGTGCTCAGAAGTTGTTTGAGTTACAACATTCAAGACCTCAGTGAAGGTTTCAAATACTTTTTCTGCAGACGTTGGGGACATTCCTAGATTTGCTGTATCCGTGACGAAAACGCAATTCCCCATATGGACATCAACCATATGTTCCTGGTGACGAACCGAATTGGCCTGTGTTCTAATTTGTGACTATATATAGTGCAATATGTGCTACCCTTTTCAGGAACACCTGGTGTCGTCACTATTTGGAAGTAATATACCAGTACATGTTTAAGCACCTGTTCGTGACGTAGTCGGAATCGTACAATCGATTTGAATATAGAAATGGTTTTGTCACTTTTATCTACCTAATGAATGCGTACATGTAACCTCATTTTCTATATGTTAAAACAGACTCGTGACTGATGACAAGTCAAGACAAGTATTTGATCTAAATTTCCGAACTAGAATTTGTCAATTTGTACAATCTAGCCTCGGGCTTCGTTGTACCGAATTCAGTTCTCAAATTTGAGTGAGTGAGTTAAGAATTAACGTCACATCTCACAAATTTGAAACGCTGCATATGGAATATGTGTGTATGTTGTTATCCTCGGAGGTAATCTGCACTTCTTGAGTTCATTATAATGTAATTATAGACGTTTAAGTAAACTATACAAGTTAACAATAAAACAGCCAATGCAAAAGATCAGTAAGTTGCAGCAGCAATACGTAACAGGTCTAGTCTAGTCTTATGTATGTCCTTCAAAAGTATGTGTAAAACATCCAATCGATTAACCATGGATACCCGTTACATGTTTATTTATTGTTGTTTTTTTGTGCTGAATAGAATGAGAATAACTGATGAAACCTGTCGTAAATATAACTTTTGTGATCCTTTGAATGTCGTTGTTGTGATGCCGTGCTTTCACTGATTGGGGTGATTGGGATGATAAAAATATCCTGATCTAGCAAAAAGGCTAACATTAAGAGTTTAGGACATTGTGTAACGTTCAACGCAGCAGGGGGCGGTCAACATCAGATCTAAGTGAATGGTGTCATTATTATTGATAAGGTTGCACTATCATGTTAAAATGTTGTCTTAATGTTGTCGTGAATAAAATATAACTTTTGTGATCCTTTTTTGTCGTTCCTGATTCAGAAAGTAGACGGACATCAACACATAGAGGTCGGGACAATGTGTAACGTTCAAGGCAGTTGGAAACGGTCATGGGCCGGGACATTGACTATCTGTACCGCTGTAGGGAAACATTTAGAGTAGTGGCAAGACCCTCAAACTGCCGGCATACCTCTCCCAATAATAGAACAAAGCCAAATTAGAGTTTATGTCTTTGTATCCAACAGATTAAAAATGTCAGATGTGGTCAAATGTTTTTGTGTCAGATGCTGTTTTGTGTCAAAATGCACATTTTTGTTGTAAAAATTGAGTAAATCAAAATAAGTCCCCTGAAAGCAGGTATATGTATTGGGTCCTTATGAGCCCTTATGTTTGTCAGTTATGTGACGTGCATAATTATTTTAATTGTTTTAATTATAGCCTCTCACAAGTTGAGTTATTTGTAAAAATAAGCCAAGAAATAACAAATTTCGTTCTATTTTCATCAACCATTTTTTGGAAAATGAACAGCAATGAATTATTAGTATTTTTTGATATATCAAAATGATCCGACACGTCTTATGAGGAGATGGCAGTGTTTATATTCACCATAACTTTTATATTTTTTGAAAATATTGGTAATGTGTTGTCCAACCAAACATTTTTGTCAAAAATGTACATTTGTTTATATGCCCATTGTTAATTTCATCAAGAATAGCTTCTAAGACATATTATTGAAGGTTTGTCTAAAATTATTTATTTTTTTAAAGGAAATGAAATTATGTATATCAAATTCTTTTTATACGGAACATAACGTTTTGTAGTATATACTGACTCCTTCATCAGGTGAATTAATGATGTGAAACAGAGAACATATTATATATGTTCCTGTATCAACAATAAAGGCTTGACTTTTAACAAGGAAAGCCAACAGCTAATTGGTGCTGATAGGTGATTAGCATGGGGCACATGGAAGAGTTCACAGTCACCGAGCCAATGGTAGGGGCACCAGCAGCGCAAGTCCCAACCCCAGATGATGAATATGCAAGATTCCCCTGCAACTGTGGTCATCAACTACCCAGAGAACCCCTCCGACCCCTCAACACCAGACTCAAAGAACATCATACCCCTGACAACAAACTAGACCTGTTTCGGAACTCATAACTTAGAACCATAGCATGTTGTGGGAAGCAACCAAAGTCCTGTCTACCTACAACAACTGGAGACAAAGACCATTATAAGAAGCTATTTAAATCAGGAGACACCAGCCAGCCATGAACCGTGACCAGGGTACCTACATTGTATCTGCCCAGTGCTTGGAACGTATTCCTTTGAATATTGTCTGTGCTAATTATCCATCTAACTTCCATTTTCCCAATGTCATATCTATTTCTATTACCTATAAGTGCTATTTACCCCCTGCCTCCCGTTTGTCCATTGCACATTGCTAATTTAAGTGACCTATCAGCGCATATTAATTGCTAAGTGTGAGCTTTCGTTTGTCCATTTCAATGACCTATAAGCGCCGATTAACTGTTGTCTTTATCAGCGGATAAACGCGTGGCTGTTCTCTGGTGTTGACGATGCATAACCTTTTATGAAATATTCCGTTTTGTTATCTGCTGCAATACTGAATTTGATGATGTTACCGCATTTATAAACTGTAAAAATGTGTTTAGATATGAAAAATGTTTAAACACACTTAGCTCTAAACGTGTTTTGGATTATACCTCTAAAAGGAACAATGTCTTCGTGTGTTTTACTCAGCACGTTAATGACATCTAACACCTAGTCAGGGGCTCAATAACCGAAGAAATCAACATATCGTGAACATAAACATGAAAAGTGTGGAATATAGTTATTGGTTTCATCCTTTTGTTACCCCCTCCCGCTCGCGAATTAACACGAGGTACGTTTACTTATAGCCACTGTGGTAACAATCGTTATATCAAGAGTCCAGGTAAAACACATCACTTTCTTTGATAAATACAGCAGCAAGCAAGAGTCGAGCAAGGATTGTAGAAATGTACATATTTGACCGGACATGTGTAAGCTCTTGTTTGGTGTTGATGTTGTCGCATTGTTAGCATCGCAGAATGCCCACTACTCATATGAAGGCAGAGATGCCCAAATATAAGCTGAGATAATGATAAGGATAAGATCTTATACAAATTATTTGAACTAACATTCTTGTATCACTTAACGATACACTGCTTGTGACCCAAGCTTCAATAGAGTAATTGTACGGAGCTGAGGTAATCAAGGCTGGTTATTTACTGTTTTGTATTTTAACTGAATGGGGAAAGGCATTTGCGTGCGTGTAATTGTGATCAAGAAGAACATTGTGAAACGTAATATTCATATGTTGATATCTCAACATTGCTGACACAAACGGGTTTGTTTCGATTGAGCCCCCGAGAAGTGTCCATAGACCCTGCTAGAGCATTCGTCCTCCTGCTCTACTTTTGAACATCCAGGATGACCTAGGGTATGTCCAGGCTTCCAACACTGAAAAGGCAGCTACAATGTTCCCACCTACAGAAGATGCTTTCAAGCAACGCATGATGAGAGCCATGTTTCAGACGACAATATGGTTGCAGACACATATCTCATTTGATCTTCAGTGACAGATGGTAAGTCGTCTCGAGAAAGTGTCCTTGTCTCATGCTGTACTGCCACGTACTGAACCCTGCACCAACTCTGGTTGCCAAACCTCTACACATGAAGAAGGCTGAAGGCTTGAGTGAC